TTGCATGTCAGACAAGCTATGGTGGGCTTCAAGATGACCTAGTAACTGTTTATTAATTTGAATTTCAAATATTTTTGATAGACAGGACAGGATTGAGATGGGTCTGTAACAATGTGGGTCTGAAGTGTCCCCTCCTTTGAATATAGGGATAACTGCAGCAGCTTTCCAGTCTTTAGGTATCTCTGATGAGATAAGAGAGAGGTTAAAAAGGCTAGTAATGGGAGAGGCAATGATGTTAGCAGACATTTTCAGGAAAAAAGGGTCCAGATTGTCAAGTCCAGCTGATTTGTATGGATCAAGATGTTGTAGTTCTCTCAGGACATCTTCAGTTTGAATTACATTGAATGAGAATTGTGGAGGGCTAGGGCCAGATGCTACAGAAGATACTGTGTTGTTGCATTGGGTGGAGGTAGTCAGATGTATCACATGGTCACCCATAGCAAAGTGCTTGTTGAAGCCCTCAATTATATCGGACTTGTTGGTGGTGATAGTGTCTCCCAGCTTTAAAGTGGCAGGCAGTTGGGCGGAGATGTTCTTGTTCTCCAATGATTTAACTGTGTCCCAGAACTTTTTAGAGTTGGAACTGCAAGACGCGAATTTGTGTTTATAAAAACAGGTCTTAGCTTCCCTAACTGCCTGTGTGTACCTGTTTCTGGTTTCCCTAAAAAGCTCCCAATGGTGCTCGCGCACTCGAGCGAGGGGCGGAGTCGACCGATATATAGTTCGGTGTCGACTCGCTGCCGAGCGCTATTGCCTCAGAATCTTTATACGAGAGTGAGCATACATGCAAAGACACTGAAGAGATTTTACACGGCAACTTACGCAATGTCTTGTTCTCTACTCTCGGAAACATGCTGACATAAATTAACCCAAGACGTATAAAATTTGCTGTTTAAAAAAGAGACAGTCCCCAAATCAAAAAAAATAAAATAAAAGATGGTCCGTGCGGATCCGGCCCACACCCGCCAGTCGGACTCAATTCAGTTGTGGCGCGTATGGTCTGCGCGGATCCGCCCCACACCCGCCAGTCGGACTCAATTCAGTTGTGGCGCGTATGGTCTGCGTGGATCCGCCCCACACCCGCCAGTCGGACTCAATTCAGTTGTAGCGCGTATGGTCTGCGTGGATCCGCCCCACACCCGCCAGTTGGACTCAATTCAGTTGTGGCGCGTATGGTCCATGCAGCTCGCGCGGATCCGCCCCACACCCGCCAGTCGGACTCAATTCAGTTGTGGCACGTATGGTCTGCGCAACTCGCGCTGATCCGGCCCACACCCACCAGGCAGACTCAATTCAGTTGTGGCGCATATGGTCTGCGCGGATCTGGCCCACACCTGCCAGGCGGACTCAATTCAGTTGTGGCGCAGATCCGGCCCACACCCGCCAGGCTGACTTAATTCAGTTGTGGCACGTATGGTGCAGCTCGCGCGGATCCGGCCCACACCCACCGGGCGTACTCAATTCAGTTGTGGCGAGTATGGTCGGCCGGACGGACTGTCACAGTGAAACGACAGACAAGTCTGGCGCAAAGTTGGTGCAGATCTGCATATTGAGTGCGACTGCTGCGCAAATCTGCTGATTCAGAAAAGGATCTGGCACAGATGTAAATGCAGTCTGGGAAAAATGACAACATCACACAATTTGCGAGGCAGGCTGTCAATAGCTGGAGCCTCGTGAAAATAGAAACGCAGAACACTGCAGTTTGTGCGATTCAGTATATTTGTTAAAATAATTAAGGATGTATAGAAAGCCTGCACATCACGGGACCGATAAGGTTATTATACCGATAAGGTTGACCGATAAGCCAGTTATCAAGATAATTTGAAATTCGCACCCCAGTCTCAATGGGGAAAGCGCTGCATTCACACACTTTGTGAACGTGCATTGGGGCCAGAGCCAGCACAAATGGCAGGAGTTTGAATTCTCAGAAAGCGCAGTAATAAGGAGCTATTTGGATGGGAAAGCAAGTGTCCTTTAGGTCACGTGTCGTGCTTGTCCGGGAGCTTGGTGTCACATTCCTTGTAAAAACATCTTATCTTCTCGCGGGATCACTGCTTCTGCGCCGTGTACTCGGGTCCACAGCAAAGTAGGCTTCAAAGTGAAGGAGACAGAGTCTGCGGCATTGGCTAGTGCAGTTGCTGGCTTCAGTTTTTATGGTTTAAGGAGTTTTCCCAAAGCGTCATGGGAAATGTTAGCCTGGCAAGATATTAGGTCTGGGAACTCACAATTGGCATACCTCAATCAGAGGGGCGGGATAAAAGGTTGTCTTTCAATATCCCTCTGCACGCAATAAGATAGCGCCACAACCAACCAAAGCAACGAACGGCTGTGGATGAGTGAGTCCAATGAGTTTTCCCTCCAGCGGAGCAAGTTGATATATTAAACTTTTGCCGTATCCGGTCGTCAACACTCTGAACACATCTTCCTTTTTTAAGAATGACTTAAGTGACGTTCTCTTAACTCCAAGTCATCCAGAGTTGCGGCAAAAGCCGAATCGAAAGACCGCTATTCACCAGCAGCATCATGTTTGTTTTTAAGTAGCAGGCAAAATCACCTATGGAAAATCACGGCGCAGAACCGTCACAACTCTGCCATTATTGTGTTAAGCCCACGCACCAACTCTATACATGATGTGATTGATTGGCCTGACGCCCTGACCAGATTTAGGTTTTTCCACTTCGAAAGCCAACAGAGAGTTGCTAGACCACACTTTGCTGCAAAATAATGTTTGCTGCTGCTAAGGTGCGTCTAGATTTCTAGGCTATGGAATGTTGCAATGTTGCAAGACCTACCTCGAAAGAGAACTGATCGTAACAGAGCTTATTTATAGAGTCCTAAGGTTACAAGAGGCAACGACCAGTGAGTTTGTCAAGAGAGAGGATGGAAAATGGTCATACAATAAATTCAGGATGAACTCCTGGAGGAAATGTGTATGACCTCTTGAGGATTTGTTTGTTCTTGAAACATGGCTGTGCTGCCTTTTATTTGCATCCACTGCAGATCTGAATGCAGTTTAGCTATGTGAATGGACTTGTTTCCTTGGGGAAACAAAAGGAATGAATAGCTGGTATGATTCACAGCATTTTCCAAACAGGCTTTCAAAGTGTATTACTCCAGGTTTTTTATTTGTATTCATTGAACTTTTATGGTAGATTTTGAGATGTTGATAAATCTTTTTACATTTTTAATTGTTTAAGTTGGCCCTGCTTTATTTCGATAGTCCCATTTAGACATTCTAACTACTAACTATACTAACCATAACTTTGCAACCATATACGTCAACTAACTCTTATTACATGTCAACTAACTCTGAGTATTAGTAGATAGATATTCTACTAATAGATATTTTAGATATTTTAGGGTTAGTAGAATAATTTGACTTGTACTTGTCTGTTGTGGGACCATCAAAATAGTGTTCACCGATATAAAGCAGACGGTCTTACTAGTACCTTAATTACTCTTAGTTGTCGTGTCCTAAGTAGAATATCTAAAGTTGATTATTTAAATATTGTTACCTTCAGATTTAGTGCTGCCCAACACTTTAGCAGTCCTCTAAAGTCCAGTTTAGATGGTTCTAATATTGAGAAATGTAGGCGTCGTTCTGGTTTTAGAAAAAATTGTGCTCATGGTTGTGAACCTCTTGCTCATGGTTGTGTACATTTAGCTTATTGCACACATTTCCACTAAAAGTTCTCATATTTAAACACCATTTTTGTCTTCTAACAGATTTCTGGTGCATATTTGTGTTGAACCTACATCTTTGAAGAAGTAGACTGAAGCTGCACAGTCAAGACAAGACCCACTAAGCCCCAGATCTCTTAGTCCAAGAAAAAGTTCATTTTAATTGAGTTGAAATGGACAAAAAGGCATACATCTCAAAGACAGAGCCACTGTGCAGTGGCTAAGCAGCCGTTCAGAACCATGCAATTCTTGAGAATTCTATGTAATGAAGATACCGTGCAGATTAGAGGTTCAGTTACTGGGATTTTCACGCACAACCATTTCTAGGGTTTACAAAGAATGATGTGAAAAGGAAAAAACATCCAGTATGCGGCAGTCCTGTGGGACAAAATGCCTTGTTGATGCTAGAGGTCAGAGGAGAATGGGCCGACTGATTCAAGCTGATAAAAGAGCAACTTTGACTGAAATAACCACTTGTTACAACCGAGGAATGCAGCAAAGCATTTGTGAAGCCACAACACGCACAACCTTTAGGCGGATGGGCTACAACAGCAGAAGACCCCACCGGGTACCATCTCCACTACAAATAGGAAAGGAGGCTACAATTTGCAAGAGCTCACCAAAATTAGACAGTTGGAGACTGGAAAAATGTTGCCTGGTCTGATGAGTCTCGATTTCTGTTTAGACAGAGTCAGAATTTGGCGTAAACAGAATGAGAACATGTATCCATCATGCCTTGTTACCACTGTGCAGGCTGGTGGTGGGGGTGTAATGGTGTGGGGGATGTTTTCTTGGCACACTTTAGGCCCCTTAGAGCCAATTGGGCAACGTTTAAATGCCACGGCCTACCTGAGCATTGTTTCTGACCATGTCCATCCCTTTATAGCCACCATGTACCCATCCTCTGATGGCTACTCCCAGCAGGATAATGCACCACAAGTCATTTCAAATTAGTTTCTTGAACATGACAATGAGTTCACTGTACTAAAATGGCCCCCACAGTCACCAGATCTCAACCCAATAGAGCATATTTGGGATGTGGTGGAACGGGAGCTTCGTGCCCTGAATGTGCATCCCACAAATCTCCATCAACTGCAAGATGCTATCCTATCAATATGGGCCAACATTTCTAAAGAATGCTTTCAGCACCTTGTTGAATCAATGCCATGTAGAATTAAGGCAGTTCTGAAGGCAAAAGGGGGTCAAACACAGTATTATTATGGTGTTCCTAATAATCCATTAGGTGATTGTATTGTATGTTTTATATAACCAGAATTCACTTTTTTAGTGTAGGTGCATTCTCTTAATGAGTAACTGCATGGCATTAAATAATGTTCCTTTAATTGTACATTTAAAAATGCTAACTTAAATAGCAAAAGCTGCATAGCATGATACGGTCAGTTAAACAAAGCATTAATACAATATAAAATAGACAAACAAAAATACAGACAGACCTAAAATGATACAAAACCATACTTAAGTATGGTTAAAAAAAAATAGTACAATTTGAATACATCAAAATATGTTTAAATGAGCAACCAAAAGATGTTTGCCTGCTTACAGTGTTGCTGCAGCATCTTTGGACAACGTTAAAGATTGTCTGTATTTGAAATCTACAGTAAACGTTCTAGTTTAGTTTAAGACTTTTACAGGTATTTAACTCAACACCTGGTTTCTTAATTTGTGTAAAGTGCTGAGTTCAGTTATCAGTGTATTGACGTTAGTGAACCAAGCAAACTCTCACGGACCGCAAATAAGTATAAAGAAATCTTACGTAGGTGTCCTAACAGAGTAAACACAGATTAGTTAATCACATTAACTATCATGATTTTAAGCTTGCTATTTTTCTTTCGAATGTCACTTGTTTTGATTTCTCAAAATGTTTTGGAGGTATTCCTGACTGATATCATTTCTTCGGTTTTGAAGTTCAATTATGTTTAACCCTTCTGTGATTTGGTCCATATCTCTCTTTTCAAAAGCCAGACTATGTCCTTTTAGTTCAAAGAACAGATCACAAGGGCAATACCACCGTCAAATCCAGACATGACTGATTATGTATGTAATGGCTGACTCTGAGCTTTATCCAATTAGATTGGAGGATAAAAATACATGTCTAACTGTGGTAGAAAACAAGGGTGGAGTCCATGTAGGTGTTTTCTGTTGCCCTTTTTTCAAACAGCATGTAATTACAGCGGTCACAGGTTGAAGCCACAATGCGTGAGATTAATGATTATTGAGGGGTTGAGTTTCTCAAACGTAGGATGAAGGATTCACCCTAATTTGCTGCAATACTTCGTCCTCGTATCTGAACAGCAGGACACGTTATTATGTTGTTATGATTTGCACATGACTATTTCTGAGCAGAGCCAAAGTTAAACCAATAATCAAATCAAATGTTCAGTTTGTGACCTTTGTAAATCACAATAACATTACAGCTAAGCTGTGATCATCCCAAATACCTTGTTTGCTTATTTAAACACGATATCATGGTAGAACAATACATTTACTATAGTAAATACACCAAGATTAAAAGTAAGTAAAATTCTTGATCTTACGTACATTAATGTTTGCATAATATTTTACATAGTAATGTTGCGGTATAGAGCATAAAACGTGGATAAAAAAAGTATTCAGTGAATAAATATAAACTTGTAACATAGACATTATTAATCTTCTAGTATGGTTATATCCTTTTTGTACTTAATGTGTCCACACATCATGTCACTCTGAGGGCCATGTTTTTCTAGGACCGGCTTTAGGTGATACCTAAACAAAGAACAAACACAAAAGTTACGTTAGTTACCACAATGGTAACCTCTGTATTTCTCACCAGAATTATACAATTTCAATTATTACATCAAATTTTTCATTCATTTTGTGAAGCACATAAGATTTTAGTAGTACATACTTTCGAAATAAACATGAAATCTGAATGCATACTATTTTCATTCTGAAATGACTATCCTTTTAATCTGATGTCCATTAGGTTGCATGGGCTATTGGGTAATGGTAACCAGTAATCAAACAACTATTTAGGCATTGCTTCAACAAACTCCCATTCACATCTGGCTTCATTTTGGTCTGTAGCATTAATGACCCAATCAATCCCAAACTGCTCAAATCAAGACTCGCCCTACATTTTACTGAATGAATATCTTTATTTTACTTATATCACTTTAACAAGTTTTGTAAAGTGACCATTAAAAGTAATTAAACTGCTTGTTCTACTAAACATAAGATGACTTACTTCTGCCTGTGTTTTAGAGTAGTTCATGTGGGCATACAGTAGAACTGCAATGTCATTGTGGGATGCCTCCAGGGCAATGGAGAGAGCATTACTGCCATCCTAAAGGAAAGAGGCCAAAGAGCATACATTTAACCATAATGCATTCTTTTGTTGAATGCTTTAACACTAGAAACCAAGTCCCCCGAACATTAAGGGTGTGACTTATTCTGTGACATAATTTTCTGGAAAACTTTCAGTACAATATCATACTGTAATGGAACAAGCGACTGCATTGGATTTCAAACATACACTATTACTTTGGGCCCCACATACTTTATATGGCCAACAGGAAAAATCTTAAAATACACCATTTATCTGCTATTTATGGAAGCTTGTTTCCGCCACAGAATAAAAAATGACAGTCATTTTAGCAAAAAAGTACAATAAAATTATAGTACAGTAAAGACTTTTCATCTCAATTTTTTTTGCACAATTGTGTGATATAAACTCGCAATTGTGTTATAAAGTCAGAATTGTGTGATATAAACTCACAAACGTGTTATAAAGTCAGAATTGTGTCATATAAACTCGCAATCGTGTGTTATAAAGTCAGAATTGTGATATAAACTCGCAATCGTGTGTTATAAAGTCAGAATTGTGTCATCTAAACTCGCAAATGTGTGTTATAAAGTCAGAATTGTGTGATATAAACTCGCAATCGTGTGTTATAAAGTCAGAATTGTGTGATATAAACTCGCAATTGTGTGTTATAAAGTCAGAATTGTGTCATATAAACTCGCAATCGTGTGTTATAAAGTAGAATTGTGTCATCTAAACTCGCAAATGTGTGTTATAAAGTCAGAATTGTGTCATATAAACTCGCAATCGTGTGTTATAAAGTCAGAATTGTGATATAAACTCGCAATCGTGTGTTATAAAGTCAGAATTGTGTCATCTAAACTCGCAAATGTGTGTTATAAAGTCAGAATTGTGATATAAACTCGCAATCGTGTGTTATAAAGTCAGAATTGTGTCATATAAACTCGCAATCGTGTGTTATAAAGTAAGAATTGTGTCATCTAAACTCGCAAATGTGTGTTATAAAGTCAGAATTGTGTCATATAAACTCGCAATCGTGTGTTATAAAGTCAGAATTGTGTCATATAAACTCGCAATCGTGTGTTATAAAGTCAGAATTGTCATATAAACTCGCAATCGTGTGTTATAAAGTCAGAATTGTGTCATATAAACTCGCAATCGTGTGTTATAAAGTCAGAATTGTGTCATCTAAACCCGCAATCGTGTGTTATAAAGTCAGAATTGTGATATAAACTCGCAATCGTGTGTTATAAAGTCAGAATTGTGTCATCTAAACTCGCAAATGTGTGTTATAAAGTCAGAATTGTGTGATATAAACTCGCAATCGTGTGTTATAAAGTCAGAATTGTGTGATATAAACTCGCAATTGTGTGTTATAAAGTCAGAATTGTGTCATATAAACTCGCAATCGTGTGTTATAAAGTAAGAATTGTGTCATCTAAACTCGCAAATGTGTGTTATAAAGTCAGAATTGTGTCATATAAACTCGCAATCGTGTGTTATAAAGTCAGAATTGTGATATAAACTCGCAATCGTGTGTTATAAAGTCAGAATTGTGTCATCTAAACTCGCAAATGTGTGTTATAAAGTCAGAATTGTGATATAAACTCGCAATCGTGTGTTATAAAGTCAGAATTGTGTCATATAAACTCGCAATCGTGTGTTATAAAGTAAGAATTGTGTCATCTAAACTCGCAAATGTGTGTTATAAAGTCAGAATTGTGTCATATAAACTCGCAATCGTGTGTTATAAAGTCAGAATTGTGTCATATAAACCCGCAATCGTGTGTTATAAAGTCAGAATTGTGATATAAACTCGCAATCGTGTGTTATAAAGTCAGAATTGTGTCATATAAACCCGCAATCGTGTGTTATAAAGTCAGAATTGTGATATAAACTCGCAATCGTGTGTTATAAAGTCAGAATTGTGTCATATAAACTCGCAATCGTGTGTTATAAAGTCAGAATTGTGTCATCTAAACTCGCAAATGTGTGTTATAAAGTCAGAATCATGTCATATAAACTCGCAATCGTGTTATAAAGTCAGAATTGTGTCATATAAACTCACAATCGTGTGTTATAAAGTCAGAATTGTGTCATATAAACCCGCAATCGTGTGTTATAAAGTCAGAATTGTGATATAAACTCGCAATCGTGTGTTATAAAGTCAGAATTGTGTCATATAAACTCGCAATCGTGTGTTATAAAGTCAGAATTGTGTCATCTAAACTCGCAAATGTGTGTTATAAAGTCAGAATCGTGTCATAAACTCGCAATCGTGTTATAAAGTCAGAATTGTGTCATATAAACTCACAATCGTGTGTTATAAAGTCAGAATTGCTTGGTATAAAGTCCCAATTACGTGTTATAAAGGTCATATTTGTAAAATACAAACTTTTTAAATTTAAAATTTTTATTTTATTTTTTACTCTTGAGGCAGAAACAAGCTTCTATATAGCATTCAATTATAATATTGAAAATAAAAATGATTATTATGCATGTTTAACCCAAAGTCTTGTTGGTTCAATCAAGTATGACAAGCTTTATGTCTGGTTCAGATTACACAATTTTTTTGTCTGTTCCGATAGTCACTGTGTCAGATTACGCGATTTTGACTCCTAAAATCTTGTCGTGTCATGGACAAGACACATATCAGACTACACGTTGCTTTCTGACCAGTCATCGCATGCCGTCTTTAACGGCGTGCGTGATGTCATCGAGAAGGCGAAACTAGTAGCGAGTGAAATCCGGAAACGAACAATCGATGAAGCTGTGAGTGTTGTATTGGCTGTCCTGTGTTCAGAAAAAAGAAAAAAGAAAAAAAGAAAGAAAACCCGAAAATGGACACGTTCCTGGATTGCCCGAAGAGGACAGTATGGGCTGTCAATCCTCCAAAGAGAACTTGAGGTAAAATATTGTTTTCTTATATATTTTTACTTTTAGTTTTAACTTTAACACCATCGTCTCTCTTTTGTTTTGCCATTTTTGAAAGTTGTGTACGGAAAAGCTTCTGTGCTCCTATTGGTCAACCTCATACATGTGACGGAACCGTCGTGGACGACCGTTAAAAACATTAAATATGTTAGTATTTTTGTCGTGATGTCGTGAAGCATCGCAGACGCGACATAGGTTGTCACCCACTATGACAAACTATACGAGATGATACGATCGAATATTGCGACCTGACAGCCGTTGCGTTTACGAATCCCCACGACACCCTACGTCAAACGGATCGTGCCAAAATCGGGCTAAAATCGTGTAATCTAAACCAGGCATAAGATGGCTTTATAATAAGAATATAACACTGAAACATTAGTCATAAGGAAATAAAAAATAATCATGGCTAAAATTTCTTTCTAGAATTGGAAGGTCAAGTTGAGATAATCGCGTTGTGGAATAAAAATTTCAAATCTAGTAGGTCATCCATGTATTCACGTCAGAAATAGCGTGTTCACCTTCATTTGAATGTTAGCGTGACCAACAATTTAATTCATTATCCCAGACAGCAACATAGTGTCGGCCCACATCTTGTACACATAGATTCCACACGGCCCGAATCTGGGCTGACACTATGTTGTTGTCTAGGATGGCTCTATAGACGAATCCGGCGAAACTACCGGAAGTAAGCGGGCGCCATTACTGAGCTGTTGCTGGGTAGCGTTGCGCCATTGCCTTCTATTGTTTTAGTTGCAACTTGCGTCCATTGGAATAAACAGCTCACGATTTACGACTGTCACTAACGTTACAACGTTAGCCCTTGTATAATGTCGAGTGGGTAAACAGTTTCCGTTATAAATTGTTTCAATGGTGGCAGTAAAATTTCAATTTTGAAGAGAAAACATTGTGAAAACCCCGGGTCGACTGCCCCTGTCTGGAGCAGTACGGTTTACACAGATTTCCTGGGTGAGTACAAGACGCGGACATTCGCGTATAATAACAATTATTTAATGACATAAGTAAAAAATATATAATAAATGTGTGATATAGTGATCAGCAAAATCTCCTCTCTTGTTATTTTTTCTATTCAATTTACATGCTATGGTCATTAAATGGCTTTCCTGAGCTGAATGTAACGTTATGTGACATATTTGTTCTCCTGCTGTTATATTGACCTCTTTCCATGGTTTAAAAACAGTAGTTGGTCGATATTATGTATACTTTCTAGCTGTAACGTTACCTTACCCATGCCCGTTGCAATGTAAAAATGAGATAAATAATGGACACAAATGAAAAACATGAAATTGTTTATTTGATTTCATTTATTTATTTATTTATTGTTGCCAAATGGACAGATCTTTTTTTAGTTTCCTCGGTAGCAAACGTTAGCCTAGCTTGCTTGCCAAGCTATTTTCATAAATAATCTGTAAGATCGTTTGTACCTTCATCTGTGACTGGAGGCCAATGTCTAACATCATCAACCCAACAAGTCTGCCTGGCTGTAGCTGTCATCAAGGGTGCGTTATCACCTTATCTCCGAGGTTTGTTTACATACCGGTGCATATGTCTATGCCGGTGTAACAGCTCAGTAATGGCGTCGCCACAAGATGGCAGCCTACACAAGAACGCTCGTCGGATTCGTCTATAGGATACAGTATTGTCGTGTACAAATACATCATGGTTGTGTGAAGGTATTGGTGGGGTACTCACATTGTCCACTACAGAAATGTCACACCCCGGCTGTTCCAGCAGCAAGGAGACGATCTCAGCTCGACCGTGTTCACTTGCACACATCAGAGCAGTGGAGCCCTCGTCATCTTGGATGTTCACATTTGCACCACAATCAAGCAGCGCTCGCACCATCTCCTGCCGCCCATGACTCACGGCCAGCATCAAAGCCGTCTGTCCTGCCTACAGACAGGCCGAAAGATAGGAGCGTTTAACTAAAGGGTTTTTGTCTGGCAATCAATGCATCCCTTTCATTCACTTACACTCTAAAAATGCAGTAATCTGTGAAAAAAAAGCACAAAAACTGATAAATAGTAGCCCCTAAAGACTATTTAGACAATTAAACGGGTTGGTATTATGCCCTTTTCACAGTGTGAATGAGTTTTAGCTCAAAATAACCCAGAGATATTTTTATATAGCATGTTAAAGTCACTTTTTGAGGGTTTGCAAAAACGCACCGTTTTGTGTCTGGCCCTTTAAATGCAAACGAGCTGCAGCTCCTGACACAGAAGGCGGAGCTTCAAGAGTGTGTTCAAGAGAGCAATTAATATCCTAAAAACACAATTTGATTGACCCTAAACTTTTCAACGGTTGTGTACATGTATTCCATATTGAATGGAGAGCATTCTGTTACTCCTTTAGCAAATCTTTCCACCAAATGAGTTGAGAAATGTACAAAAATGGAAGCCAGCAACTTGAAAAATAAAAGTTCCAAAAAAGGGGTTTTCCATTGAAGAACTATTTTTGGTTCCCCAAATCATTCAGTGAATAGTCTTTAAAAGAACATTTTGATATTCTGAAGAACTTTTTTTCACTATAAACAAGCTTTGTGCAATGGAAAGAATCCATGGATGCTAGATTCTTCATGGAACAATAGATAAACCCAATAACAAACCTTCATTTTTTAGGAACGTAACTTGAAATGTCATTCTCAAATTAGCAGAGGATATAATGGCAGACGAATATCTAATTAACCGGATGACTTACTTGGCTCGCCTTGGCATTGACGTTGCCCAGACGGAAGAGTTTCTGGACGACTGCCATGTCGTCCTCTTCCTTCACTGCTGAAAGGGCTGCCAGCATCACAGCTGTATATCCGGCTTTATTCTGCTGATCAACATTGCACATGCCTGCACATGAACACACACAAAGCTAAATATGCATTGCCTGAAGTTGCCTGTATTGTAACAATGTCTCAAACATTGGACGGCAGCTCAATACCATAGTGTACGCTAAAAGATTATGTGTATTTCAGTTATCTTTAGTCAGATGCATTTACTTTATGACAGTGCCGCAGATGCTGTCAATTGAAACTGTATGTGAAGGTGTGAACCAAAAAGCCCATACAAGGCGTATGGCCCATAGAAACTTATAGGTGATTCAATTGACTTATACCGCCAGACGGTACTTCCAAAGTTTTAGCACAAAATACTCCACAGATATTTTTATATTGCATGTTAAAGTTGTCACTTTTTGAGGGTTTGCAAAAATGCACCGTTTGTGTCTGGCCCTTTAAATGCAAATGAGCTGCTGCAGAGGGCGGGGTTTCAAGAGCTTGCGTCTATTAGCAGCTGCGATTTCCTCACACAGACACTCTAAAATGTCAGAAACTGTTCTGCCTTTCATGTTTAAACTGGAGCCAGTCAAAGATGGAGAGACTCAAGAAGAAGTGACAACATGTAGAATGCAACAGGACATCTCTGAATGGTTAGTTGATGAATTTATGTTGCTGATGTGGAGTTAACTATCTTCAGTTAGCATATTCTGTCATGTAATCTATAAATTGTTTGTATAGGAACTCTTGTGAGATGCACACAGAGTGACTTTCTATTACATGTGAAAAGATGGATGCTAAAGTTTGAGCTGACTCACAAATGAACTCCTATAAAACCACTTTTCCTCTTCTCAACATGGATTGCGTGTTCCCGGGGTGGGATTTATGTATATTTTAGGGTTGGTGATGTTACTAACCCCAGAGAGGAATATCGTGTAGTTCCTACCAGCCGTTTGTTGTAGTCCTTTTATTTAAAAGCAAATATCTTACTTTGCTTTAAACTTTGAGCGTTTTAACTTTGATAATGTTGTTTATGCTCAAACTGCAACATTACACACTAACTAAAGTTAGAAAAGTGAAATCATACTTTACCACCCCTTTAAGATTCTTTGAAGACCAACATGCGATCGATTTTTTGAACTGTGTCTTTATCATTATCATCCTTGGCACAAACGGCCTTTATTCAACTGCATATTTTAAGGACACCAAAAGTTCTCAAACTTAAAGCAGCATTTATGCTATTTTTGAAATTTTTCTCTCAAGGTCCCCCTACAGTTGGGAAACAGTATTGTCTTCTACTACTGTCGTAAAAAGAATGAATTCAGGAACACTATTAGGTACTGGTTGTTATAATCTCATGTTATTCTGAAAAAAAATTCTATTAACCTGTGTCAAGCAGCAGGTCCACAACGGTGAAGTTGGAATGGGAGACGCTGTAGTGTAACGCAGTGTTGCCGTTGCCGTCGGTCATGTTGACTATGTGTTCTAGAAGGATGGGGGAGACCTCTGAGAAAGCCATCAGGTAGTTTGACACACGTAATGGCTGGATCATCTTTGCACTGGAAACTCGGAACCACTCCAGCTGAACGGTATGAGTGCTGGACAACTGTGGACGTTAACAAACGTTAACAACTTTACAGTAGTTCATTGTAAAGTTTGACTGGAATGAATTGATTCATTTGGAATGATAACCACAACGTGAATAAAATGTAATACGTGTCCTACCACTTCTTTACTCTTCACTGTTTTGGCTCCATCATTAAGGTGGTTCTTCACAATTAGACAAGCCTCACGCATTTTGGCACTTAATTCAAACCTGTAAGATAATGTCCATTTAGTGTTGTATATATATATATATATATGTGTGTGTATGTGTGTGTGTGTGTCTATACTTAGGCTATAGTGTTTCTCTGAAATTGCTTACTGCACATTTAAGGCAAACTCCTTTTTTATTGATATTTTTTGGTATTGAATTAAATATATTTCTCAACTTCATACACCATCTTGGATAAAAAAAAGATTTCACTGATTTCAACACAAAACATTCTGAGATTGTTTTTTTCTGGACACATTTGATGACCAATAGGCTTTAATTATTTCATAGCACTGAGCGACGTAGTAAAGATGAGTCATCAATATTTTAGGACCTTGTTTTTTTGCTTAAAATTCATTTTTAGGAGTAAGCTAGCAAAGAGATTAATTTAAAGCCGAGACATGTGGACTAGAAGACAAAACTGTTTTGTGATCATTGTGAACATCTCTGTCATCACAAAAATGAACTTACTTTTCCTTCACTTTGTCTGCCTGATCCTTTAAATCTTCAGTCCCAGCTGGCATGTTTTCATCACTATCAGTTTCATCCACATTTATATTCATGTCTTCCTCCGATGTATCCTCTAGAGCTGCCTCTTCTTCCACGCTGCTGTCTGAACATGCACCAGCCTCACTTCCATCAGAGGAACTCTCTTCATCCTCTTCTTCATCTTCTTCACTAGAAGTCGACTCATATCTGCAAGAATTTAGGTGGAGAAATTCAGTACTGGAAGAGGCAAGTTGAAAGCCAATGATATAAATACATTTGTTACTTGGCATTCGAATTATTTATTATAATTCATAAAAGTAATTGACTTTTATCATATTGTTGCCATTTTATAAAAGCAATGAGATGGTCCTCACTGCGGAACATGGAATCCATGGGGAGGAGTCGGATCCAGATCCAACTCCTCCCAACTTACATACACCTAAACCTAACCAACTCCGCCCCCTGATCCCTAAACCCAACCCTAATCCCTAAACCCAACCCTAATCCTACCAATCTCCACCCATTGGATCGTGATCCGACTCCTCCCCGTGGATCTCATGTTCTGCATTGAGGTGCTACTGAAAGCAATAGGCGCAGTCAATGACTTTGATGTTATTATAGTAAAGGCACTTTGTATCATGCCTAACGATATTGCATTATTTAAAAATCTGCTCTAGCAACTCACCCTCCATTTAGAATTCCAACGAACTTCAAGCTCTTTTTCCCACCACTGGAAGCAGCACCAGCACCACTCCCATCCTTCCTCTTCATGATAGATTTTAGAGGGCCTGCAACTTTATTGCAAAGAAATCACTCTTGAAGGGGTTTTCCAGTTTTATTTACATCAACATGAAACATTCTCAATACTGTTGAGATAAATGATATTACACAAGTAATAAATGTATGGTTGGATTTGATTTTATCCATTCTAAATTGACTGGATTGTGCCGTGACTTGTTGTGATTGTGATTACATGAATGCTAAGAGGCTCTAAAGTCCCAGTGAAATCAAAAATTTAACCTTCTTACTTTGTTAGCGCATATTACTAGTCTTCTGGTGAACAATTAATCTGTGCAAGTAAATCAACCATGGTACCATTACCATGGTAATCTTTAATCAAAATCTGAAAAGTTACATCTGGTCTGGAATGGTGTCTTTTTCTGATGACGTAGGTTTGACGGCTTGGGTTGGGAAACGCTTACCACTCCCCTCAAACCGTTAGTCTGCTATGAGCGAGAGATGGACAGGAGGAGCGCTAGAGTAAAACCCTGCCTTCTGTTCAATATTCCGTTTCACTTGGAAATACGTCATAGCACTGGAGAAAAGTCGTTTGCAACTTCCAGTTCACGGGGACTTTAAATTATTGCTGTGTTTACTACTGGCAACATGTTAGAGAGGCTGCATTACCTACAACAGTACAGTAGCACTGCAAAAGCGGAGCAATTATCTTAACAAGGCAATTTGTTTTCTTTGGAATAACTGTGCATAGTATGAACATTAACATGCTTTAAGAAATTCTGTTGACATTTAAAAATAACAATACTTACTCTCTGCAGAAGTTGTCTGTTCTTCACTGTCTTGTGTATCAGTGACGTAGAGACATTCCCACTGGATACCAATGCTTACTAACTCCACAGTTTTCTCCTTTGAAGATTCCACAGGATCTGTTTGAATGCTTTGGTCATTTTTTGAAACGTACTCCGGGTCAGTCACATCTGGAAACAACACTCCGACTGAACAAACTTCAGCTGGACATGTTTGCAGTTGGGTATTGACTGTCTCTGGTTTTGCTATTGTCTCTTTGTCCAACATAATCTTGGACGTCCTCTCAAGTTCCTGAGCCCTTAAAGTTTCAAGATCTTGGCTAGTCTGAGTTAATCTTGTCTCAAGGACCTGGATTGATTCTTGTTGAAATTTGATTGTGTGCTGGAAGTTATCAATTTCTCGTTCTGTCTCACTTTTTAGCCCTAGAAATGACTCTGTTACCCAGACTGCCACTTCTTCTGTATCCACTCCAGTCTGAATTCCCTCATCATGCATGACAGTAGCCTCAGTCGCAATAGCTGCATGACAAACATCAATAGTAGTTTCGACAGCAGCATCCTTGAGTGCTTGACGGTTGAGGACTATCACAGACTCAAGTGGAATGTCACTACCTACTGCTATGGATATTTTTTCTACAGGAGAGCTGGTTTGCTTGTTATCTTGTTCATCACTTTTGCTTTCTGGCCTTTTATTCCAAGGTGAAGGCGATGTTAGGGATCCTGGTTTAACGGCTTCGACTACTGAATCAGTGGAGACTTGTAGTTTGAGCGTTGAATCAAGTTCTTCTGTTTTCTTTCGAAGTTCCAGAGCCAACCTTTCCTTTTCTGCACGGATCGTGGCAACTTCTCTTTCTAGAGCTGCTACTCCTTTCACTCTCTCTTCCATCTCTCTCAGCTGCCGAAGGGCTGTGGCCATCTGTTCCCGCACTGTCTGAAGCTGCACAGGAGGCAAAGTTCCTGAGTTGGAGGCTGGAGTGCTCCTTCCAGATGTCTGAGGACTTGCTCTGGTCCAGATCCCAGAAAGGGGGGTCTGCACAACAGGAGATGTCTGTAGCAAGTGAGCATCTGAAGCAAGCTGGGAAGAAGCTACAGAGAAGTCCCTGGCTTTGGAACTCACTTTGGAAAGGTCGGACAAATTGGAGCCTAAACCATTTGAAAACTGACTCTGCTCCTGTTGCAGACGGAGGCTAGTTTCAAGAAGTGTTCTCTCTACCCTAGGGTTGCGTGGTGGAGGTGGTGGTGGCACTTTGGACCAAGTAGTTTGACTGGGACTGACCACTGGTAATGGAGAAAGTGGTTGGGATTTACTAGGTGATGTAATTGTGCTCTGGAGAAAAGGTTGGTTAGTCTGGCCATTCTCACTGGTTGTTGAGGAAAGGGATTCAGTGGAGGTCCATCCACTGGTCCGACCCCCAATACCCAAATTCCGCTGGTGCCCGCGGTCACCCCGAGATCCCCTCCGAGGGTTCACATTAGCTCTACGAATGCTGTGTCCACTCTCGATTTCTTCAACATACTTGAGAAAATCAAGGTCCAGCTGGAATCCGTAGGGTGTCTGTACAGAATAGGAGCCACCTTGATCTGTTTCTTCCTCAGTAGAGCAATGTAAAGGAGCACTCAGATCTGCAATGCAAACATAACAGATGCTTCGTTAATCTTGAACCAGAGATCTATCGAGAGCAGCAAAACATACTTACTTGGGAGTTTGGATGTTATGTGCACCGATTGGGTCATTTTAGGGAGCCTTCTGTTGCCCCTCTGAAGACAAATCAGCACACCTGCAAACAAAAGACAAAATTGACATGCCAAGGTTTGAGCCAAGGGTAGGTCCTAAGCCCCATTCAAACAGCGTGTTGATCGCGGGAAATTGCCAGAACGCCTTCTGTGTGAACGCAAACATGGCCCGGGATTGATACCGGCATCGATGCCGGGTTGGGGGCCTAGTAACATTTTTCGGAATCAGTCCAGGAACGCGCGCTGTGTGAACAAAAGCCAGGACCAATGCCGTAAGGCAGACTGATCTCATGAAATATTATGTGTATGACACGCCAATTCGTATTTCCATTTTTGGCGTGCTATCAACATGCATAAACACTTTTCAGCGTGTTTTATGAACGACGTTGACTTAACTTTATTACTGTATATATAAATATATGACCTACCTCAACCCCGTCCCTAAACCTACCCGTCACTGGGGTTAATGGCATTTATTTGACGGTGTGTACATAGACGCGGAATCACTCAGACGTTAATGGTGTAGACATACACGCGGATAGCTCAAAATGCGTAGAGATAACACGCCACTTGAGTCGAAAGTGGCGTGTATGTTTACGCAAAAGTCATGATGTCATGTTGCGTAAGGGGTGTGTCATAGTGATGACGCTCGTGCCATCGCGCGACTCTGTTGCTTAGAAGAAAGTTTGTAATCGTCATCAACAAAGAAAGGACGAACAAATGTCTACAAACTGGAACGAAGCAGAGACCAGGAGCTCTTCACTATCCGTGCTGAAGCTGAGATCGTTCACCAGCTTTGGGGAACGGTATGCGTGTGTACATATTTTCGACGCGTATGTTACACGTCTCATCCTGACGTCATGTGTCTTTCTTCGATCTTCATGGGTTGTGTGTGAGCGCACTCACAGATCCCGGCAAATCACTCGCAGTGTGAATGAACCTTAATCAAACAATCCCGGGTCAAATGCCGGGTCACATTATCCATGTATTTTCTGGAATCTCTGTGTGAAAGGGGCTCTAGATTGTCATAACTGACATGGGCTAATAGGTAATGGTGTTGATGCATGTATTATTCAGTCACAGCAATGATGGATAAGCCAAGATGACAGTTTCTAGCTGAAACATGCTCTGGTCTTACATCATTGTAATAGTTGTTTTTAGACTGCACACATAGCCCTGAGGTTTTTGTGATCATATGAATATTGTGGTTAGCTCTCCAGCGAACTTAATGCGTGATGGGTCATTTCAAAACAAGATTTGGCTGAGAAAAAAGCGGCTGTGCGGCTGAATGTATAGTGTTTCATTGCTTATGTTCCCAGACACACCTGCTTTTCTCTTTCTCTACTGTTCATTTTCGTTTTTTGTTCTGTATAATATTCTGTTTTAAATTACAAAATTGTAATTGTGGTATTGCACACTTTTAATATTGTAGCATTATTAATTTTGCTGACTGATAAATTGCTTGCCTTAAAGGGATACTCCACTTTTTTTGGAAATAGGCTCATTTTACAACTCCCCCAGAGTTAAACTGTTCAGTTTTACCGTTTTTGAATCCATTCAGTTTCTGGCGGTCCCACTTTTAGCATAGCTTAGCATACATTATTGAAGTGGACAAGACCATTAGCATTTCTCAAAAAAAAAAAAAAAAAATGACCAAAGTGTTTCGATATTTTTCCTATTTAAAACTTGACTCTTTTGTAGTTACATTGTCCACTAAGACCGATGGGAAATGTAAAGTTGTGATTTTCTAGGTTGATATGGCTAGGAACTATACTCTCATTCCTGCATAATAATCAAGACACTTTACTGCTGTACCATGAGTGCAGCAGACGTAATGATATGACGCCGCGTCTGAAAATAGTCCCCAGCTTGGTATTAGCCTATTTTCAGGCACTGTGTCATATCATTCATATCAGTAATTATTAACATCCAATATATTGTAGCTCTATATCATGTCACATTACATTATTATCTTACATTATCTCATATTACTAATACACTCTAAAAAATGCTGGGTTGTTTTAACCCAATTTTGGGTCAAATATGGACAAACCCAATTGACTTTATGCACAGCTGCACTACTTCCTGAACTTAAGCTAGCTCCTTGTTTCCTGTCTGCTATTATTGGCCAAACTTGATTAATTCAGGTGTGTCTGATTATTGTTGCCATGACTACTTAGGTCAGGCACACCTGAATCAATCAATTTGACCAATAATGGCAGACAGGAAACAAGGAGCTGGCTTAAGTTCAGGAAGTAGTGCAGCTGTGCTGTGCATAAGGCCAATTGTTGGATTAAAAAATGCAATTTATAAATTTAACCCAACAGCTGGGTTTGTCCATATTTGACCCAAAATTGGGTTAAAATAACCCTGCATTTTTCAGAGTGTAATCACTCATATTCTGCACATCCGTTAGGATGCTAAATGTCAATACCAACGGACAGAGCAGGCCATGGAAATATAGTTAAAATACACACACACACCCTGACAGAGGAGGGGAAGCATGTTACACATAACTGTTTTCACAGAGCCCCAGGCACATTCCACCAGACACTTCCTATTTCACACAGTGCTAATATGACCAGGCTCGGACATGTCATTCAAGCACAAAGACTCCACAAAGGCAGCGAACGGCTTGAATGCAGGATATAATCAGCAGACCAAAAAAAACAGAAGCACTATACTGGTTTAAGTGGTGCTGGCAAACGCCGTGTCTAATTAAAAGCATACTGAGTACTGTTTGATCACATTTAACAGGCAAACTCTGTTTTTCCACTGACTGAGCAAAGTAACAGTACCATGTGGAGACTGAACCCGAATGCTTCAATGTGTTTTGCATTGGACAAACTGACTGTATCTGGCGCAATGCAGCATGTTGTCCATATGGCTGACCAGGTTTCCAGTCCCTGTAACTACTACAGTCTAGCCTGTCAACTCAAAGCGCGTTCTTTTGATTTGCAGCTTGCAGGACTTCCCCGTCCCTCCAGCTGTGAGCTGAGAGGTATCACTGTGTTTGCCTGCTGGTAACAGCCTAATTACAAGGCAAGAGGGGAAAAACACATTCCTGTCTAACTCCAGCGCCTCTCAACCAGCATGCTACAAACATGCCAGGCTAACAAAAACAAAAGCGTATCCAGCATTTGACAAGGAACTGAACATTTACACTACAAGATGAAAGTTTGGACACACCTACTCTTTTTCTTGTCATTATGTTTTTCCACATTTTAGAGGGGGAAAATATCAGCATTTTGGAAACATCACATCACAACTATACAACATAACACAAATGGAAGTATGGAAATTATGTATCGACTAGTTTAAGCTTCTCCGAAGTCACCATCCCCAGATTCCAACTCGGGACACTTGGACATTGATCCAAATTCATGAGGTAATTCCTGGGAAGCATTCTGAAATGAAGTTTCCACGTATGCTGGACACTTGTTTATATTTGTCCACTACACCCTAAAACCGTATTCTGGACAAATGTGGGCAAATTAGTTTTGATTTATTTTTAAAAAACAATTCCCTTGATCTGAGCGGTACAAGACTTGGCTACTTTTCCCAAGTTTGTCTCCTGAACACACACAATTTTGTTGACTCAATTCTACAATGTTAAGTGGGTGAAAAAAACTCATTAATCTTGTACTTGGGTCAAAAATGGGCATAGAAATGAATGGGAAAAACTGTAATTTAAATCTAAAATAAGCCAAAATAAGACACCAGGTGACAGCAGAGATGAAGTCACTTCATCTTTTAGGTTTTAGCTCTAAGAACTGATATTTTAATGTAGTTAAAACATTGTTAAAAATAAAACATAAAAATAAGCATAATTTACATAGAAAATATGGTACTTTTTGAAGTAAATAAATTCAAAAATACCCAGAAAATAAAAAATAACACCAAAAATAGATAGACAAAACTTTATCGAAGACAGTGATATAACATTTATAATATATATAAAATTACACCAGAGTCCTTTATCCATAATTACAGGATTAAGGGCTATAAAGTGAATACGGTTTGAGGACTACGTGAGAAATCTTTTGATTTTTTAAAGTAAAAGACGAGAAGCATAAGTTCAAACGATTGAATGTTTACAAGTCAAATCAGAAGAAATCTGTGTTCTAACCCTGTCACTTTCATTCTTTCACTCAGTTCTGGTCCATAAAAAAATAAGAGCTTTGTGAATAACATTCAACACTTTGAACATGGGAACAGTGACTTCTCAGAGCAGGCAAATAACTGGAACAAATCTTTCACTGTGGTGTTGTCTGAATGGGAGTCATGTTTTGAAAGTGACCTCATAGCACTCCCTCCCGTTTTCCTGCAGAGGAAGCAGAAGGTCTCTATTCCCATTATATGTTATGTGAACTCTGCAGGCTTGGCAAGGTCACATCTTACTTATATCAGGGCTATTTGTATGAGTGGGCAGTCCCATAAAAATATGAGAGGAAACTGTGTCCAGTCACATGACTTTTAGGAACCAGTACACCAAACCATTGTCATCATTTATGCACATTCATGTTGTTTGAAACCCATGTGACTTCCCTCAGTAGAACACAAAATTAGATATTTAGCAGAATGTCTAGGCTTCTCCTTTCCATATAATGGAATCATATAGTTACCAGAGGGTTTCAAACCCCAAAAAAGAAACAGTAACCACCATAAATGTATTCTATACAACTTGTGCGCTTCATATATTCTGAAGCAATATGATGGGAATGGATGGATGGGAAGGGAATAGTTAGAAGCACAGGCCATTATATGTTTCAGTAAATTACTTCAATGTTGTTGTTTACTGGCTCTCAACCTCATTGGTTCTTGCGTGTCACACGCTCACATTTGAGCTTCTGTCTTTACCATATTTGATGTGCTTTATGCGTGTTTAGATGTGAATTAAATCTGTTCAGGCCATCATATATCTTCACAAGGCTTGGATTAATCTGCTCAATTCATATGGATATGGACCTTTTTGTATCGCCAAAGTTTTGGTTGTGTGGACTTTCAGTTGAAAAAAAGAAACTTCTCTTAAAGGGATAGTTCA